CTGTGAGTTAGTCGTGCCCTGACTTAGATCAGCCCAGAGGTTGTTTCAGGATTTGATCTGTGATTTAATCAGCTATGCCCTGACTTAGATCAGCCCAGAGGTTGTTTCGGGGTTCTATCTGTGAGTTAGCCATGCCCTGACTTTCATCAGCCCAGAGGTTGTTCCATGGTTCGATCAGTGAGAGAGCTGTGCCTTGACTTAGATCAGCCCAGAAGTGTTCTCAGGGATCAATCTGTTAGTTAGTGTTTCAGGGTATCAAAAACAAATTGAGGAATTTTTTTTAAGGCTATGTGATGGTAGTATGTTAGTAATGGTTATAAAATATTATTGTAACTATTAATAACAGTGTAGGCGCATGCAATGCATACTTCGTCTCCTTGTCCAGTTGTTGACAGCCTTCAATGACTTTGATAAAGCAACCAATGTCATTCAAATCTCTGAAAACCAATAACAATATTTTGCAAAAAAAGGTTACTTCTGTGTATGAGTAATATGATACAGTGTTGAACAACAGGGTTCATGTTGGATTCCCAAGGACTTTTCTAGGAGGTATTCAAGAAGGTAAATTTGAATTTTTAAGGACATTTTCAACCAATAACCAATATTTTGCAAACAAATGTCACTTCTGTCTATAAGTAATATGATACAGTGTTATATAACACCTGGTTCATGTTGGGTTCACAAGAAAAAAATCAAGCACTTTTCTAGGAGTATTAAAGAAAGTAAATTTGAATTTTCAAGGACATTTTCAAAGCATTTCCCTAAAGCTTTATTTGTTGCTGTGCTTAATGAAGGAGAACACTTTTTAAATCAAGCAACACATTTGGATTGTTTGTTTGTTTGTGGTTGCACATTTGGCATATCCCCCACAGATTTTCCTGGGTAACCACAGGTAGCCCAAATAACCACAATTTCTATAATAACGGTTTATTTTTGATCAATAGGACGTTTGCATGATGGCGTCATTTGACTCCCACTACCAAGATACTTCGCGAATTTTCTTTCTCATTTAAATTTGTATTCCCTCATGAGAATAGTAAGACAATTGGTGCTAATTAACTGAACAAAAGAAAGTGTGCAAGGGAGTCTGGTAGTAGAGGTCAATGACGCCATTATGCAAACGTCCTATTACTTTTTACCAACATTTCATATTATATATTTTATCATTTCATTTTGAAATCTTACAGCAATGACAAAATAATCTATTTTCCAAAGAGTACTCAGGGTCTTTTGCAATGAATTTTTTGTTTGTTTTTCAAGAGCTTAAAAACAACCTTGAATTTGTATCATAAATTCAAGGGCTTTTATTCATCATTTTCTTCTTTTTTTATTATTTGTGAAATATAAGACTATTTCCTCACCTCTGAGCATCAACTTTAAGATCAGTTGAAATACTAAACCAAATGTGCTTGCATCTGCCTCGGGCATAGTTATCCAAGATTATCCCTGAGATCTGAAAAAATATCATCATGATATCGGTCCAAATCTTTATTTAAATCTCTTTACAAGTTGTCATACATGTATCTTTTAAAATTTACTGTGGTTTTGGATATTCTGTGAACTCAGATTTTTCAACGGCTTGTTGTGAAGATTTTTTGTTGTTGTTGTGAAATTGGTTTTTCACTGCTGCCAGTCAAGAACATAAATGGTACCTGACTGATTATTTTTGATTGATGGCAGCGAAAAACCGAATTTCAGTGTGCAGCTCGTAACTACTCAGTATCTCATAATATTGAACCTACCTGGTTTTTATTGCATAGGATATAATACCTGGTTGCTATAATCGGTATTATTCTATTACCTGTCTTCCTTTGCCGACACCAGCTCCATCTCCAATAAAGAATCCAGCTCTTTGTTCGTTTGGAAGAATTATTTGATGTCTCTGGCACTACAAAGATGAAAGTGTAATGTGAAGTCCCAGAAATTATCTATACCCACCCCACAAAGGAATTTGGAAATTTTCGAAGGGTTGGTGGAGGGGGGGTGGGTCAGAGAAAGAACGAAAATTGCAGGTTCGTATGGAAGAAAATTGGAATTTCCAGGGGTAGGATGGGGTCTTAAAAAAATTCCTCTGCGATGGGGTATGGATAATTTCTGGAACTACTGTACACAATAAGATTTGCTATAGAAATATTTATCATTATAATGCATCCTCATGATTCTAGCTAGCGCTAAAATCATTTTCATCATCATCATCATTCCCATCAATCATCAGCTTCATCATAACCAAATCCACCAACAATTTATCATGGAACACTATACTTTATCATTAAAACCAGAGAATCCAGACAAAGATATGACTTACTGCATATAGAACTCCCTCTAGCTGGAGATCACTCAGTTTTCCTGTGGACACAACATCTGTTGGTAAGGAATCAAAGAGAGGGTACTTGGCTTCTGGTGGTGGCTGAGCCTGTTTGGAATGAGCAATGCAATTAATAAATAGATTGAAACAAACTAAGTAAATAGCATCTTCTTTATCATTGTCACCATAGGCATTATCATTATCACCATCATGTCATCAATATCATCATGATGATGATCATGACTAATATCCTCATGATCATGATCAGCCCTCATTATGATCATAACCATCATCTATCATCATCAACATCATCATTTCACCACCATCATCGTCATGGCATCATCATCATGATCACCATTATCATCATGTCATCATCATCGCATTCATCATCACCATCAACCATCATCATTGCCATCATCATATCATTTTCATAATACATTTTACTCACATTATCATGCCTATGATTGGCTACGACAGCCAATCCTTGATAGCAAATGAACTTGATACAATAATAATATTGTTTATTGTATTTGATGGTGTGCAATCAAATACAAAGACATGGTTGCCACATTGGCAGTATTGTACAGTAGGTGGTACATGTAACACATAAACAAATAATAATTGGCTAAATAAATTCTAGATAACGTACAGCTAAACATCCAGCTTCAACAATATCTCCAGGGTGCTTCTTGATGTCCGGCTTATGAAGTGACCGACACTGGTAACTAGAGAACACTTCCTTGCTGTAAACAACAAAGAAAGACCATTACATTCATCATTAGTCATTAAATTTACATATAGGTTATGAGACTGCTATTCGTGTATAAGCCTTTTCATAGTTTAAGAATCGATTCCACTGAGCATGCGATTTTATCCCGAATTTCTCGCCTTCTGTTGTTTAATTAAGAACAAAAGAAGGTTTAGACAAAAGAAGGTGAGAAATTCGGGATAAAATCGCATGCGCAGTGGAATTGATTCTTAAACTATGAAAAGGCTTATTACAGCCAGATAATTTTACAAGTGAAAGCGGCAATATTTATTTTGAGAAAAGATACAGCTTCATCAGTAAAATTATTTGGCTGTAATACACAACTATAGCAGTGTAATAAATAATAATAATTTATTAAACAATTATTGTTTATTGTACAACATGAAAAACATTGTCTCCCCGATTAGTAGGGCGCTTGTGCCTGGCTAGAAGAATTCGAAACATTAATAAAGTTATTATTATTATTTCAAAACCAGTTCACAGACGGTGTATTATCGCTATGTAATTGCCCTATTTCACTATGACGTCGCTGCTTGTTTATGTAGGGATAGAATCGCCAAATCCAATAGAAAATTCAACATAATTTGCTCCTAGCGAAACAGTTTAATCTAAAATGGCCTGGTTTTCAGATATAATATGTGTTAATATGTACTAAAAAAATTTCAGAGCTTTTGCTGGCTATTTTCTACTTCTCTTCGTGGATTGATACGGGTTTTAGAACAATTTTCAGTAAATTTGCGTTGATTTGACCCCATCCGCCAACCATGATCCTTTGCATTTAAACAATAGATTGTTGAAGATTGTTTTGATGTGACGTCAAAGTGACTTAGGGCAATTGCACTCTCGGAAAATGGTTGTAATACACAGGAAATTGAGTGTGTCATATAATAAAAGTAATAAATTCATTTTAAAACCATTGTCTTAGATTGGGGAGGGGAGGTTGACAGTAGTACTGATGTTTTGAAGAGAAAATCTAAGCCAAGCAAAATATAAAGCTTCTAAAGCTTAACATCAATTCATAAAAAAATTCTTTACTGCCTCAGCTACCTTCATACGTCCAGGGAATGGAGGGGGTGGGGAGGGTAAGGTTGACATCAATACTAATCAATGTATCATAGATAAAATATAAAATATAATTTAAAACATAACATAATTCATGACCTATTCCCTTACAGGCTAAGCTACTATGAAAAGAGCTTAAAACAGCTTGCATAGTCTAGCGAATGAATGTTGTTTTATTTCCTAGATACCTTCGTTGTTCATCGAGAACGCCATGCGCCATCTTGTTTAGTTCTTCCTGTTCTTCATTTGACCCAATAACTCGATTAATAACCATTTTAGCCGGTGTTTGGCCTAGATTAGCCGTAGGTACGAACATAATTGACAGTATGAAGCTATATCATTAAAATATTACGGTGTAAATTGAGAAAAATATAAAGTTTTGGTCAGAAATTTTTGAAGTTTTGTGGAGCGAAAGTCCCGCGCATAACTTTAGGCACCAGTCTCTTTCGGATGGAAATTCAAAACTCTAAGGGAGGGGATGGAGGGATTTACCAAATAACCAAATAATAGGAATTTTAATTATTTTAAGCCAAACAGGCGTAAAAATTTCATGGTATCGCGATTCTCCTCCCCTATAAGTTTGATCGAGGAAGCCATTGTCGTCTCAGAATTACCGCACGCGATTGGCTCAAAGCGTTTGATTGACGGCGAAAATAGCACTTTTTGGTATCGACAATGCAATGGTTCTCTCAAAAAAATTCTTCTTCTCTTTTACAACTTTTATGACAAAAACTATTTCTTGACGATGTGGTACGAGGATAAGGGAAATTACAAGCTACATATCTTGCACTATATCTTTCAGGTGAGTGAAAAATATCGTACAAAATTTGATTTCTTTCAAGTTACGCTTCGAAAAAAATTGCTTTATTAAAATACAATTGTTTGAATGACAAAAAAATCGTAGAATCAGCTATTCTTCTATTGACGATTTGTGTTTTAAATTAGAATTTAAATTAGGTTTTATCCCAGAACATTTTAAAAACAATTATTTTCAAATGAGCTTCTTCGGTTTTGTAAACTCAACGAAAATGTCAAATTTGCTTGAGCGAACACTTGGCGAGCAAATTTCCAATGCATTAGAAGCTAAAGAATGAAGTATAAAAAGGAAAAAAGAAAAAAAAAGTGTAAACAGTTTAAGCAATAAAACTATCTCACACTTCACTAATTTTATTATGATGAAAGTCGAATTTTGATGAAAACAAAGCTTTCGAAAGCGAAGAGCATTTTCCAGTATCCGTTGCTAGGGAAACAACACTTCCCTTGCTTTAATTTCCTTTTTCTTTTTCTTTTTTTTTACTGAAAAATAGTAGAATAATCGCGATACCGAAAATAATTGCGATTTTGAGACGTTTCCAACTTCAGTTTTTGCCAATCATTACCAATATTTTCTGTACCGCGCTCTCCTCTCCTGTGTCATGTCTCAGGCACACGGCGAGCAAAATTAAGAAAAAACTATATAAAGAATAAAAATAAATTAAAATGGGTGACTTTTCATCTTAAAACTAACATCATTCAAAGAGTTTAAGAGCGAAAATTCTTTGAAGCCCACTCAAACCACACCCAAAAAATGAGACTATCAATAGGCCATTTTCTCTGAATGATTATAATGACACGAATATGATGTTATATAACACTTTCCAAAACACGTGCTCTGTTTTTTTCCGGACAAGGTCATCTTTTTTTTCTTTTTCTTCACACAGGCAGACTTAAACGGGTCTTTTAGAGTTTGGGATGAATTTGCTTAAATAAGTAAAGTAAAATCACAATAAATAAAGTGAAATAATGTTTTCAAGTTTATTTCGAGAAAAGTATGACCAGCTCAAATGAAATCACACCCAAAAAATATGGACAATCTAAAACACATTCGACTCTCTAACAGATTTAATAAGATCTAGATGGGAATGGCTGTTATATAATATATTCTATAACACTTGTGCCGTTTGACACGCAGGGCGCATTTAAATGGGGGAGGGGGGGGGTGGGGGCAATGGCTCCCTCTACACATTGTTTTTTCCCCTCTCGCTGCAGCATTTCTGAAAACCATATGTTGGCAATTTCTTTAGAAGCATGTTATTGGGCAGTCCTCTGGTTTTTCTTATCGCATGTCATAGTCTGACTTAACGCTGATTTTTCTTGTTCCCGCGCCCCCCTTTATATTACAGATCTGACCGCTTCTGGAATCGTTAATTAATATTCAAAGCAATAGTCGGCTTATTTATAGGACTATAAATAGCGGATTTTTTTCAGTCGAGTTAACATCTTCTGTACGTATGCGTACATTGCACATGAAATGAGTTGATCAGTAGAAGGAAGCGTTGTCCTTAATTTGGAGCATGAAAATAAGGATTTTTTCCCCAATTTTTGACATACGATACATCCGATCAAACTTGTCACGCGAATAACGAGAAAACGTTACTGATAAAGAACAGTGAAATTCAACACTGTGCGAAGGAATTTGATCAGATATTGGGGTACAAAAGCAGATCGACCCCGCAGTTAATCATCTATCAAAAGGGCAGTCGTGAAGTACTGAACAAAGCAACACTGGACCTTTTTGAAGGATAATGTTATTTGCCTCACAATACAGAAATGATTTCCAACGCCGAAAATCCCGGGGAATTCTCGAAGTACATGTATGGAGTTGTAACAACGACAGTATTTTTCATCATGATTGGTGCTATCATTTGTAATATTCTCGTAGCCGCCGTGATCTTTAGGAAAGTCCAACTCTACTCAAATTCCTCCAACAAGTTTGTGTTCAATTTGTCTGTTGCGAACTCAGCTCTCGCGGTTTTTGTGCTACCGTTTGTCATTGTATCTATTGCCAAAAGAAGATGGGTTTTTGGCGACATTTGGTGCCAAGCTTCTGGTTTTATTACAATACTACTCAGTACAGACTCACTTTTGACGGCAATGATTTTGAGTATCGACCGATACCACTGTATCGTAAACCCACTAATATATCCTCTAAGGATGTCGTCCCTAAAAACGAAAGTCCTCATTGTTTACACTTGGCTACAGAGTTCGTTCACGGCAATTCTTCCACTGATTGGATGGGGAAAATATGGATATCAAAGGCGAAAGTTTTCCTGTACGGTTCAATGGGGAAGTGCCGTCAGTGAGGGATACACTAAACTCTTCGTCACAACCACTTTTGTTCTACCTTTCATAGTTACGTGTTGGGCTTATTATCATATTTTAAAAGCTGCAAGGCAACAGGCTCGAAGAGGACGACCGGCTCGAGTTGTTAACCGGGCGTCTATTACCTCGACTACATCTGGTAACATTAGTGGGCTAAAAGCTGTCAAAACTACTATCATTGTCTTAGGGAATATTTTACTGTGTTGGGGAGTTTATATAGTAACTATTCTACTTGAATCTGTTAAGTTAAAGACCCCTGATAGTTTGCATGTGACTGCTATGGTACTAAGCTTTCTCGTTACGTGTCTCTATCCTATTATTTACGGTATCAGAGTCAAAGCTATTCGAAGACACACACGAAAGCTTCTAATATCTGTGCTCTGTTGTTGTTGTGGATATGATAACACTGTGAGACCAATCAGCGCAYCAGAAGCAGGGTTCTGTGTAGCTCCTTCTTCTAGGATGTTCAGGATGAGGTCTGTCTCAGATGGTTCTGTCAATTCGATAGCTTTAGAAGGCACAGCTGAACCAGATACTGAGGTCTGTATCGCAGGATGGTGTTTACCCACCATTGTCGAAGAAACAGACGACACCAGCCAAATGAAGTTACCCAACTCAGAACTCACTGATCTTGATGAGATAAACTACGCCTTACCCGGACAAATACCTCTATAAAATCGAACAGAAGTCAATCCATCCTTAAAGAGAACCTTATCTAAAAGACTAGTATTATTAAATTTAGATAAAAAGAAAGATTTATTTAAGTCAGAAATATTTTTTTCCATGATAATATTTTTATTTTAAGTGCAATGTATATATTTCTGTCTTAAGCTTTGTAAAATCCATCACGTAGGTTTTGAAGCTATTTATGTAGATAAAAATTTCTGTTATTAAAATAATTCTCTAGTCGCAAAATTCTTTTATGAAACTCGAAACTCTTTGCAGGAGCCATATTTGCCTTCTACCGGATAAAACTTGGGTGGTCAAGCGAGCCGGCTTGTCGGTGTCACTGCTCTCTGATTGGTCCAGCAACGTTGCATCCATCATTATCAGAGCCCAGACAGTTGGAGTGTTTGATAAAAACATTTCAAGGCCGGACCACCCGCGAGAACATCCTATAATCGATGCAAGCTCTACATATCTTTCGGCCTTATCTAGGTTCCTATGCAGGGAATCCTGGAGAGGGCTTATCCCTTAAGACAGGCGAGTTCTTCGACTTGATGTATTAAAACCGAAATAATAATAATAATATTAATAATAATAATAATGAAAGCTTTATTTCTAACATTTTTACAGCAATTATAAATCTCTCTCAAAGGCAATTTACAATTGAGTACTCGAATATGACTTTACGAACACTTGAAAATTTACAAAACTAAACCTTTATCAATTCAGGATCATCCCATGCTTTGTTACGACAACAAAAAATGTAATAAGTGGATCTGATGATGATTTTCGTTACGCTCCTAAATATATAATTCTAATAATAATATTATTATTATTATTAATATCAATTTATTTCTTAAAGACGCATAAAACATAAGGTCTCTATGCTTCTAACAAGAATAAAATATAAAACATATAATTATGAAATAAAAAATATATATAAGATATAGAAAAAATAAAAACATATATAATTGTATATATCTATCCAATATAGAAGGAAAAAAATCAAAAAAAGAAAACAACAACAACAACAACAACAAAGTAATCTTAAAGTCAAACGTCAACAATAATATTTCTCAAAAACAGAAGTCTTCAGGTTGTTTTTTTCCATACGCACAGGTATCCCAGTACAGAGCTACCTTTCCAATAATTCTCTAATTCTATCTTCGTACTGTCCACACGAACTCTTTATTCCCCAGAAAGAATCTAAGTCATTATACACCTTCACCGGAAGATTTGGGTTATTTAGGTCCGCACACATCTGACAATTCCAAGGGTTCGGATAATCTATTTTATACTTGAGTTTCCACTGAAAATACTCATTGTACGCTGTATCGTTCTTATCCAAGTATTTCAAGTAACTCGCTAAATCTTTCAAGGACGGGAAGTCCATAACATTGATGTACGAACCTGGAATTGCAATTTTTGAATCGTACTTTAGAGGCCCTAATACAATAGGGACCATGTCATGGTGAAAAGGAGTGTACCAGTACTTCTCAGTGACATAATCAATACAGTTCCTATTTTCAAAGGATAAATAAAACTTGAATCTTTTTAAAAGCTTGTCACAATCGCGTGTTTTTCTATTACAACGATTTTTTTGATTGTATTGTTTCCCACACGCTCCAAATACAGTAACATTAACGTATTTTAAGAGTTTAGCTGTTACATTGTGTCTAAGGTTTCCACAATGACTAACCATCCAAGCTATAAACTTGTCTTTGCCTTGAGCATAATTCTTTAGATGTCGAGTAGTTTGTTTTTCAGTCGAAGCTAAAGGACTGTAATAGTTGTAAGGTACGAAGAAGTCCGAATCTCCTCGGTAAGTCATCGTCCAGTTGAAAAAACCGTTGTACAGTGCTGGCTTATAGTACGTAAAATAAGGATTCTCGTGCATGAAATAAACCCATCTTTGTTTCGAAGTTCTGTTTTGTGAAATCTCTTTCATGGTATTTACACTTGGCATGTCTCTGCCGTGAAAAATCACCACGTCGCTTCTTGCCAAATCCATTTTATCATACGTTAGTCTACAGTTCGTTACCTTGCATGTTTTACCTCTAAAATGAGTGAAATTATAAGACGTTTCCAATCCTCTCCAAGGAAGACGACCAAACAGTGGCGTGTAAATCAAAACCAGTTGATAGCTTTGCTTTCCTTTCTGTCTTTTGAAGTGAGCCATGTCTTTTTGGCTGAACTTTTTCTCCGAAAGATTTTCGGTTCTTCCCTGGAAGCGTTCAATGTCGTACTCAGTGTCTTGTTCCAAGTACATCTTCATTGTACTAACACTTTTATGAGAAAAATCAACAAAAATATCTTCCTGAAACCAAATGATTCCTAAAGTAATCAAAGCAATACAAGTTACTACAGAAATAAACACAACTCTCAACAACATGTTGTTACTCGGTTGGGGTTAGAAAACTACGTGTAATAGGAAAATAATTAAGAGAAGAGAAAAGTATTTTTAGTAAACGTGTCAATTATAATTATTCACGAGGAAGAATTGGTTCGTCCTGCTAAGGCTCATGGGTTCTACGTCTTGGATACATTCTGCAGCTAATTAAAATGATTATTTTTCGATTCGATTTACTTAAACTTTAAGTTTAAATTAATCCACTACGATTTGGCGAATTGCTTTTATTGTTGTTGTTTATAAATTTATTCGTATGTACATGTACTATCAGAGTATGCGTGCTTTGAAGGACCATCGCGTTTCTAAGCGCTTGAAAGATCTCACCAATCTCGTACCCAGAGTCTTCCCGCCCCTTCCTATCGTCAACGGGTAACCGGGCGCCGTCCCAGGCACTGACGACAGGAAGGCGCCGGAGGACTCTGGTTACGAGATTGAGATCTCACTAAAGAGAACACACAATTAGATTCATGGAATCTAGCTATAGCAAGGATTAAAATATGAATAAGTTAGAAAGATCATACTGAGAAATAAAACAAAACAAAAGAAATAGCTTTTCTCTGCAAGGTTTCTTTTTAAAAAAGTAGTTCTTTTAAGATCGAAGTAGTATTTTTCGCTTGTTTTCGACACTAAATTGATCAATTTCTTTCCTTCCTTCCCTCCTTCCTTCCTTCCTTCCTTCCTTCCTTC